TATATATAGGTGTACATTCTAATCCATTACCTTGTGTTATTATTATGATAAGACTATAATCTTATAACTGTAAAATCTCTGTGAGTTATTTCCGGATATTTCTATTGAAACTAGATATTATTAAAGCAATTATACAAAGGCCGAAACAGATAATGGTCTGACGCTGCAGGACCGGGCTATACAGTGGATGCATTAAAGTTTCCGATTCAAGTTTTCTCAGCTTTTGCCCGGGTTGGGCATTATTATGATAAAAGACGATGCTCCTTTACCTTTCTCGGTCGACCTCTTCAATGGCTTGTTGTAATCTCACTAGTTATTGACGGCAAATGTCCGAATCAGTTGTTTTTTCGGACGACAGCAGTGCTGAATGCATGCTTCCTTTCTAGTTCGGCCTTATATGCAGTGTCACCTTTTGTAATTTCAACCCGAGCCTTGCCACAGGTTGTAAAGTTTTTCCTCACTCCGATCATAATCTTTGCTCGTACGTAATCCACTCTTCACCAGCCGTGGCCAATCAGAGATTGCATTGCGTCTCTAGAGTTTCACGAATTTAAATACAACCGGATAAGTTATTTTGCGTCAATTCGTGCGGCTCCCAAATATTTAGTTTCCTTGTTTACTTGTTGTAGCCCGCTTGCTTCAAATGTTTTTTTTTGGTGTTTGGTAGGGGATATGAAGTTCGTCGGTGATATCATGGCTACTCACGTGTCTTTATTGTCCAGTTTTCGCAATAATTTTTGGTAACCTTTTTTTTCTAATTAATTTACATTTATGAGGAACATTTCTCACATCAAAATTTCCAAAAGCTATAGAAAAGAACATTTTTGGGCCATTTCTTCTTACAACCCGTTTTGAGCATAACAGCGCAAGTTTTTTTATGGGCTTGCATAGCACGCGTTCCTTTGTCGTACTAAAATGGTGATACATAGCACATTTATAAATAATAGATACCGGATAACTGTTATCCGTCCTTAATGCTTTCTACCTTATATCTAAATAAAGGCCTTCAAACAAATTTAGCATACCTATTATGGTTATTAACTTTTAAACGAGAGGAACGCCAACCTGGGGCGGCTTATGACATCTAATGTGTACGACTCCAGAGCCATCTACTTCCGTCAATACTTTTCCGACTATATATATATATATATATATTATACGTTCTAAAATTCAAAGTTAATCCAAGACAGGTTACCGATCTCAGAAGGTACATCATTTTTCCTAATGAGATCGTGAGGTACCGGGATAGATTTTAGCTGAAAGCTAACATCAGTAACCCAGCAGATGTAGTTTTGAAAAACCTATGATTGTGTATTAAAAAAAACTGGAGAATCTATGCTGTCGAGGCCAGTTGGCTGGAGACAACGAATAGAAAGAAATTCAAACAACGAAAAATTTTTACTCGTTACGCTTTATTTCCCAGCTTGAAAATAAAAGGGCTTGAGAACATTTTGTTTTGGTATTGATCAACTAAAGACGCTACGAACATTTTGATCTAAGTTCTGACCATTTCAATATAACTTTTTTCTAGAACTATTTGTGCGCTGTTACAGTAATGATTGAGCTAAGTTAATTCTACGTAAAATTGAAACTTGAATAAAATGCAGATAGAATTTAGAGGTTCATCTATATTGAGAGAAATATGAAAGATTACAAACTGATTATTGAGGGGTTGTTCTACTAATTCACATCAATAAAACAAAGCGATTAACCGTGAAAGTTTGGCCCAGTGTTTTTATAAAGTTAGGTAATCTCAACTTGTTGTCGATACAGTATAAGATAGCCCACGTCTACAATACGATAATACCCACTATAAAGATAAAGAGAATGTGGTTGGAATAAATTTTTGCTTGTTTTTTTTTATTGGTACTCATGTTTTTTGTCTTTAACTAATTTAAAAAGCACGTTTTTTCTTTCGTTGTAAAATGGATGCGTCCAAGTAAATATAGCTGGAATAAGAAAAAAAAAGTCTTTTGTGTACCATGATAATAGTTGTTATATTATGGAAACTAAATACTAAATATTTGCTTAATTTTTTTTAACGAAAAAGGAAATTAAATAAAAATGCATAAGAAACAATAACGTTGCCTTTACCCTTCAGCCATATCGTGCTACACCATACTATATGGGTCAAAATAGACAGTTGTGACCGACCCGATTCTTATTAGTGTTGTCATCGAACACTATACCTACAATGTAACTTTGCCAAGATGTGCTAAACGCTCTTCTATCCGGAAGTCACCTGATTGTCCTTGATAAAATCATTCGGATGCGCAGTGAATGTACCCATGCAGAAAGATATTGGCTTGTCCGGAAAAATCTTAAATAAATTTCAAATTAGCAAACAAAGCTTTTGGCTATCTATAAAGCTTCACGACTGTTCAACGACAAAAATATCGTCTAGAGCTGGAAGTCAATGCTCAGTAATCAAGTTTTTTGACCGAGAACCCGAAAATAGGTGGAAGCATTGGAAAGGTAAAATATCAAATAGTTTTACTATTTGAGAAATTTTGGTAGGCGAACTCCTCGCCATCGTATCATTAATGTATCAGCGATATTCGTTATAGCGGATAAAGTTTAATTTTAAGACTGCAAAATCATGAACAATAAAATTAAGGTGGTTATTTATATGAGTTAATTTATACGTTGGTGTTTGAGTCAAGTTTTTATAGAATAGAAAATTCTTTTGCTTAACTTAACAGTTGACATCTAAATGGAACGTTACAGGTAGCTAAAAAGTTTTTACACGGGAGCAAATTTATAGTTGCCCATTCGTGCTTATTCAGAAAACCCATTTTTCGAAATAAATCTGTACTGTCAGTGCACGAGCCGCATCGTTCTAAGTAAGCGAGTAATGTTCTTCTATGAACAATTTTATTTCTGTACATGAAAAGGAAGTTTTTCATCAAAGAGAAACTCAATAAAACACAAGGAGAACCTTCACCTTTATCTACACGTGATACGCAAAGGGCTAGCACAAACCCTTTTTTAGGTATACGTGTAAGTTCGGGCACTACTACAGACTAGTATCGGTTTTATGTACGTTCTGAAAAATATTTTTACCAAGACCTGATCTAGAGGACGCTGGCTCAACGTTTGTCGAAATAAAGTTTAGATCTGATCTGAACCCTCCGTCTTGTCTAACACCTGCTATTAATATTCTTGAGTGTAACGAAGTTAGAGCAGGCGTGTGCTGAATCGTCGAAATTAGACATTCGTGAATAAGGTGCTTAATTAAGATATGGACGAAGCCGTGAAGGGATGATGTTTTGCATCTACTTAGAAAAGATTCTCCTAGGCTCTATTATATACGCCCGTAGTTCTATCAAAGCCATTTACACAGAAGATATCTCGCCCACCTAATCAGCTACGATTCTAATCAATGGCTCAATTTCAACGAAACCATTGAGTGAAGTCATCGGCTCTATAGTTGCAGCAACTGAGGTCGATAAGATATGGGCCTCGTTTTCCCGATAGCCGTTGCCGGATTCGTCTGCTGGGTACTCTACAAAACTTGGTGCGTTTCCTAGACGTCCTGCTTGACGGCGTTGACAACTATTAGAAAACATGTGAGACATGCTGTGATACGACATATTTCTATATTTTACTGAATGCATTTCGAGACGTTTGAGAAGCGTGTTATAGTGTTTGAATGCGTTTGACATGATGATGTTTGCCGATTTGACTACTTTTCGTTTGTGGAGAATCGACCACAATGAGATAATATACAGTCTTATTTTGAAAACATTTGGGGTATGACGTAGTATACCATCATGATAATAGTTAATGGTACCTAAAAATAATTCGGTAGAGCTCACAGGGTTATATGTATAACTGTTATACGTTTTGGGTATATATGTATCGCCGCAACTGACGATCAGTCGTCAATACGAATTATATCTAACTTAGCTTAACGGACTTTAATGAATATTGCGTCTTGGAATAATTTAGAAAAATCATTTACACACTATATAGAATAAACAAACGTAGAAAAAATTTCTTCAATATCATAACTATAATGTATCAAACGTATGAACGTTTAGAGAAACACTTAATCGCGTGAAAAATATTCAATGCTTTTAAGCTACAGCTGGTCAATCGTAGAGCCCGCAGTCTGGATCTAGAGCCGCCCATATATAACACCTTATTTATATATATATATATATATGTATTGAATGATCTGGTGGCCATTTCTAGCTAGGTTGTTTGGCGTGTGGTCGGCATTGGGGTTAATTCAAAGCTACGGCTTGGCAGTAGTAGATAAGTGAGACACTTCGAGGATGAATTCCCGTATTTTATAACATCTTATTATGGTAATAACACCAAGATTACCCAGGCCCATGAAAAAGTTATGCTGCTTGTGATGAAGATACGTTATCGGAAGGGGCAAATGATAGTTTTATCACTTTTGTTTTGGGATCTTCGACGTGACAAATGCTCCTGGTAGTAATTTAATAAAAAAGCTATCGCGAAGGTTGGACAAGGGCGGCACATCGATAGTTATGACATCGCCAAAGAACTAGCAGCGTTGAGCCGTTCAAAAAAGCTTACTCAGTCATATATACATCCGCGAAGCTCTACCGAAGGATAACAAAAACGAGGTACTTTTAGAACGATTCATTACGGCTGATGAAAAATGGATCACATACGAAAAATCATAATTAATGATCTCAGACGAAAAGCTTCACATGATGTGGCTAAGCCCGGAGTGTAGTTATAGGCGATCTCATGTGTTTGAAACTGAAACGGATCGTGCCTTATTTTTTGCTACCGCCTGTTGACTTGGACCTCTACTGTCAACAACTGACGAAGTTACAAAAAAAAGTCGACCAGAGCTAGTGAACAAAACGACGCTATGACGATGTTAGATTACATATATCTTAAGGTACCTGGCAAGAATTGAGAAAACCTGGATGAGAAATTGTGATGTACCTGCTGTATAACTCGCATCTTCCGCCGTTGGCAGGCCGACACCTGCTTCGGTCTTTGCAGAGCTCCGTTAGTAATATTAATCTATGTTCAATGAAGAGGTACAAAACTCACTTTAATATGATTTTTTCCCCGAAAAATACAGACATCCTACGTTAATTATGGTAAACCGGAAAAACACACGGAAGAATGGCACATATTTAGTTGAGCAATATTATTAGAACATCGAAAAAATAAGTATTAGCTTAAATATTAGCTTGAAAACCGCAAATATTTCCGATTATAATGTGTATAACAGGCAAAGGTACGCATTGCAGGGAACGGTATGAACATTTTCAGCAGTTCGTCCGATTGGGGATCCCGGGTCCGCGGCCATCTATATTCGTTGGGAACTTGTATGAAATTTACAGCAGGTAAATTCCTTTTGTTTGATTCATGAGAAATAAACAGCATTAGTCTGAATACATAATGGCCTTAGGAACATTTTCCACTTGCTTCATTCAACCAAGATGAGCAAGGCCTATCAAGAACATCATGTAAGTTTTACTCAGTGTGATGTAGTTGCTTGAATGCGTATTTTGAGATACAAATACATCTTTCAGAGGTCATTTGAATAGTCAGCGCAAGTGGCATCTTAGATACGGGCCTGTTCTTGGATATTTTTTCGGCCACGAGCCCATCTTGCTCGTCGCTGATCTTAATCTTCTCAGAAAGATCCTTATCAAGGACTTCGCAGATTTTCCCGACCGCCCGGTAGGTCGAATTATCAGTCTATTTCTTCTATCCTATGCATTGTCTATAACATGCGATATGCGTATATTAAATCAGCTTAGTGATGATCTAGTTTGTCGATTCAGTATTGCGGCACAGTAGAAAACCTAACTTGGATTTGGTAGAACCATGCATACATCGTGTGTGCTAGGCAAGATAGTCCGACGAGAGTTTCAATACGGTAAGCTGATAAGTTGAAATGCGAACATCTGAAGTTAGAAAAACGAAGCACTTTGAGCCCAGTCAGAAGTTTAAAAAACGGCAAATTTGTATAGCTCTTTGCGGATGGGTCACGGGGAAAAAAAAGCTCGAGTTCAAGTTGCAAGTTCCTTTGTTCACTAACTTAACACTATCCATCTGTAATTATGTGCTATATATCGGTATAGGAATTATTTGACATCAGTTCGAACAATGGATCGATTCTAAAGCTGAAGGGATTGCGTTGGAAAGAGGCCCGAGCTACACTGGTTTCGTCATTTTCCAAGAACAAAATGAAGCGGGTACGAGGCCATGTTTGCGTCTAACAAATAGGATGGCAATCAAATATCTTCATAAAGTCATTACAAAAAAACACTCTTATTTTATATGAAACAATGTTTGTATATTGCTCCAGTATGAATACGATAGGGGTTGAGCTGTAACTTGAAATAACTTGAAACTGATCCTATGTAAAGTGCTCACTGAATAAAACGATCATTATTATTTTCCTAGATGTTGCCTGAAATTTTGTCTATGGTCGACGAATTCATGGAAAACGTACGCGATGCCTTTATAACGGGGAATCGGTTCGTAGACATTAGCGAACTCTACCAAGCATTATCGCTCGACTGTTTATCTCGCAGCGCTATGGGGGCAGACTTTGCTATCCAGAAGGATCTAGACAAATCGAAAATCTTCAAGCAGATGAACACCATGCTTCGGGAGAAGTTCAATCTTCTCAACATAGTGCTTCGTAAGTGTCGCCTGTTTACGAGGAAGATTTAGCCTCAGATTATTTGAATAGTCTAGCATATAGCATATTTTCAAACTATCCGACTGGATACTGATCATAAGTATTTTTTCATAGCGGCAATTCGTTAGCATCAGTAATTTGACATAGCGGTGGTCAGAGCCTTGCTAATCATCCTTCAGAGCATATATTCGTAGTAAATGTGACCGTATTCAGGATTTACTATGACAACTAGGTACAGGCGATAAAACGAAAGAGTATAAGAAAGAAAAAGTTTTCTTAGAAAACTTTTTCGTTTTAATGCTGCATTTTCCTTTGGTGTTACTCTTGTAATCTTCCTTTCGTATGTTTCTGTAGTTTCATTTCCTGCTATTGAAGGCATAATTAACCCTATAATCAAGATAATTGGAAACGTCAGAGCATGTTTTGGAAATAATCCTGAGTGGTCACTTAGGCAACGTTGCATGGACTCAATTAAGCGACGGCGGGACGACTCCAGCGTGAGTAGTGCGTAGTCAACTTGTTAGTAAAGAAGTTTTAGGTAGATCAGTTTTGTCCGCAACTGTGTACGTACTTCTCCATGCGCTTTGTGAGTCTAGACGTTGACGCTGCGATATGACTGTGATCCAAGAAGTTTAACGTAGACGAACTTGAATTAAATCTGTTAAAGAATTAAATCGATTCCTTCGACCTAATAGATATCATGGCTGCGTCCCTGTCGATATGCGGTACTTCATTAATCAACATAGCATTTCGCTTTTACTTATGGAGGGTGGAACACTGTCAGCCTAGAATAGAATGAACTCCTGTAGTAAATCTAAAAAATACCTCTAGGGTGAGGGCCAGTTAATTATCTCTATCTTATTATAATATTGTCCTTTATCGTGAGTTGCTGTGTGTGATAGTTCGTTGCCTAACTGAGTGGTTATGGTTATTCTGACATCAGCGTCATCGATTAGATATTCTCCAACTGATACTCGAAGCTCAGCTTGCTGACGTGGAAATAGAAGACTCGGCTGATGTCGCACACCTGACCATGAGTGAAGAAGGTCACGAAAGAGACCTCAAAGATGCAAACGAAAGAGAAGGTTCTTATTCGTTAAGAAATTGTCCGATTTCCGGGAGTCTAAGGGGCCTTCGCGACAAACAAATCATCGACAACGCTTACGGGATGCTGATTGCTGGGTAACAACATGATGATGATGATGATGTAATGCATTGACCATCGTCGTAGCACGATCGGGTTCATCGCAAACATCGTTTCTATATTTGTGTATCTTCTCACAGAAGAAGTCGCAAGTCACTACTGCGTGAAGCATCCTATTCTAACTTCTTCTTTATTTAATATGATAATGACAGATAAGTAGTTATATTCAGTTCCACCTACTATTTCATAATAGTCATATAAAATTCGATGAATTTCAGATATGAAGCGACCTCAGCATCGTTGGCTTTTATCACCCGAATGCTTGTCCGTTTCCCCCATGTGCAGAGACGTCTTCGGACTGGGCTGATCGAAGCGACTGAAGGCGGTAAACGTTTCGAAGTTGAGCGTCTGGATCGTTTCAGTTATTTGGGCGCGGTCATCCAAGAATGTTTACGGATGTATACGCCAATCTACGCGTACGTAATCTTCCTGTTACGGCTGACGGTGATGCGCTATTCACAGCTTCTAGTAAAGTTGCTCTATGTCACTTATGTGTTTTAGTGCACGATGAAGGAACGGTGTCCTTATTTCGATACTGAAATTTATCGGCACCGGTGCGTTGAATACGATCCTGGCATGGCGATCTATGGATTACGGACGAAGAAATCGTTGTGTTTTATTTGATTTCAGCCTCACGATCCGAAAAGCGCTCAGAAATAAGACCTATGAAGGTATGAGAATCCCTGAGGGCATGAACGTGCTTGCTTCTATCTGCGAAATTCATAACAATCGTGATATCTTCGTTGATCCACAAGTTTTTCGGCCCGAACGGTTTCTTCCAGAGAAGGTCACTCCGGACATGACATTTGCCTGGCTGGTACGATGTCGATTTAATTTCTATGTACAATTTATAGAATATACTCAAAATATGATTATTATGTTAGGGCTTTGACGACAAGCTTCATATATACGAAACCTCGCAAATCGTGACTGTTTCCAGCTGCTATGAGGATTAACTCGTGAGCATATATTTTCCATTAGATAACTTATTTAGTAGTTAACCTTGCAGGTGTTCGGTGCCGGGCCACGAAATTGTATCGGGATGTATTTTGCTCAGATGCTAATTAAACTAGTTCTAGCGAAACTCTTGACCAAATATCGCTTGACAGCCGATGCAGAGCCATTGGGAGATTCAAAATTCAGACTGAATGTCTCGCCATCTCAACTGGATATCGAGGAGCCACTTCTAGTTCAATTGTTTAAACTCTAGATCGCAAACTAAATTACGATTACCGATAAGGGAGATGCAAGACAATGGGTTCATCTAGTTCCTGCGAGGTTGTCACTGCCTAGCTTTGGATGCTTCTAGCGGATGATTCGCGACGAATCATTGTATCGTACAAAATGTAAGCTGTAGTTTCTTTTTGGGTTATTTTCATCCATCTTCCTCCATATCGAAGTCGATTATTATTGGCCAGAGTAAATGGTGGCCCGATACAATGTATGTATTTAACCTTCGGCACCGTACGCTGTGCTAAAACTCGCGAGTGCTGATGAAGAATAAGTGGTGATACACGACACGATAGTGATGAATGAAATTCAATGTTTGTATCTTACAAACGCCGTAATTTTAGTGCGAATTCGCTGTGGAGAAAACTTTATGGGCATCGCTTCAATTATGCCCCGTCAAGGAAACATCTCTAAATCGTGATTTTCTTCAACGCATAGTCAGAGATAGCTTTTGTCCCAATAATATAGTTGTCAATCTGGATTTGTGTACAGTTGTTACGATATATGTGTGGACGTCTTACAACGTCGGTTGTCTGTTAACGAAAAATCGTTCTATCGGAACGCCGAACCCCAACCAGCAAACTGTGTGTTGTCATAAAGTAATCGTATGGTGCTCGTGAAAGACTTATCTACTTCGAGAAGAACTTCGATCGCAAAAGGTTTTCAAGCCGAAAGGTTGAAGCTGCTCAATGTACTTCTTCTGCATTATCTAACTCCCGCTGAATCGGAACCTCGAGCTCTCTCGTATGCCCGCTTTTGTTTACTAGTATGTATTCAGCTCTTACTTACTCGCTTAAAAATTACCGTTTCATTAGCTCTTCAAGAGAAACCCTTTGTGTAATAAACCAATGCAATTTGTCTGTTGTATTTTACTTGCTTGGGTGAATTGTAATTGCTGCAGTCAATAAATTAGTTCAAAGGGTTAAATCGGCCCTATAATCGTCTCTGGAATCGATTGGTTCGCACTGCCGTTATACACCGTAACAGGTCACCGAGACCTTTCATTTAAGCTCGTTCCTCACGTCGTACACAAAACGCATGAAAACGAAATGTGTACAGTTATAAGAAGATTTTTATCGTAGAAGTGTACATCAAAATAGTCGCCATTTATGCCATCTTGCCTCGCCCTTGCATTCAGCTGCGAGTCCAGGCTGGCCTAATTCGTCTGTTCCCCATATAGCTATACAGACAAGCACATAAACGCTAAGCATTTTTGGTTGTTAGAATAGGACTATTACATATAATAAAGGACAAGTATATTGAGAAGACAGAAGGGATTCTGTTTACTCTCATTCGAACATGAACATTTCCAAAAATGTTTATCATTGTGGTTTCCCAAAAGAGTGCAAAAAGGTTTGCCAAGGATCAACGGACTCTATACATATTGCTTTAAGTCGTTTCGTCGTTGTCTGCACCATGGCTATCACTATGTATCCTTAGACCTGAAGAATTGTATGCCACAAGCAACGCACTATTATCATTTTGTTAATTAATCCAGCTTAGTAATATTAACTTGAACGATTTAAGCGGAATGATAAAACGGCTTACCATGGACTATGACTTAACAGACATTGATGCACCGAGTTTGCCCAAAGAATTAGTAGTTTGCTAAGGGAGTCATTGACAGTGAGGGGACGGCGTGGCCGTCAAGACTATTTTCGAAAACGTGGAATACCAGGCTGACGCTAAATTTTTTTAATTTTGAAGAAAAATACGATAAAATGTACGGAAGTGAAGCTTTGCAAGGTCGAAGATGTATTACACCACGCAGGTAAAACACAAAAGCAGAACAAAACAAAGAAATCGTGTGGTTTTAATAACTTAACTTTGAATAGGTTACTTAACTATTACGTGGGACGCCGGCACATTGGCGATAGGTTCGGTACTTACAATTAGCACCGAACTTATCGCCTGAAACCGATATCTTAAATACTGCAAAGAAACGGGACAAGAGGTGAGTCTGCAAGCGATCCGCGTTTAGGTTGTCATGGGCACGATAGCACGTTTGGTACCATATTTACAGATCACTCTCAGAAGCTTTTTGCTATATTTACTCCTAACGGGCGGAAGCAAACATACTGAGAAATGCGCCCTTCATGTCTAACTCCAACAATTTCAACAAGTTGTTGTTTACTTACTTTACCTAATTTCTAAAGTAAAACATTTGATTTCTCAATAGCGGGATAAAGGCTAAATTTCCTTTTATGCAATAGATTATGCAGTAGACTATTTTTCTGTAAGCCATTGGAATATGATACGTACACAATAGTACACGACATGCCTGAAAGAAGCAATTTCCAACGATACTTTGCTCTTAATGCTTAAATTTAGGAAACCTTTGAATTTAAAAAAAAAAAATTCAGAAGTTGGTGCCAAGGAAAGCTGGACCTCAAGACAACCGTACAAGTGCTCTTGTGGGGTTATTTGTCTTGTGGGATAAGTATGCAGTAGACATCAGCTGACTGACGTTCCCTATAGTCCAAGTTCCCGAAAGCGAGACACGGGCAGGAACACCTAGACGGTAATACCATGGCCCTAGCTTCATAACTTCTCCGATATACTAGCTGCCAAGATCTCAGGGGTTGTGCAAAGCACAAACAAATTAGATACGGCAAAAACTACAGACGTCCATTAAGCCTTGTGTCCTGCTTAGCCATCATATTCTTATGCTCATCAGCGCGTTTCGTGACGTTTTTAGTTTGCCGCCGTATGCTATAAACAAAGTGGTCGCATCGAGAAACAGTTTCATTAGATGTTTTGTAGTAGAAACGCGTGTATTTCAGTTGACGCGTGGTCAACTTAACAAAAAGCAAAACCATTTATTTTGCCATTAAAATTACGAAAAGTTATCACAACGAGAGAAAATAATAAGAACAAAGGCAAAACGTTTTGGCCGTGCCCGCTATGGCAATAGTACCTCTTTAGCCATAGTCAGCAAATGTAAAAATATTTATTGTACTCAACAACGAGAGGACTCATGCTCGTTCCTGCGAGTGGAAAGAGAAATCCGTTTCTCGAGGAATCGTTCCTTGCCACTCTCGTGTTAACCTTCGAGGTAGAAAACGTCCTTTTCGAGTGCTTTACTCTCAGCCGCTCGCCTGTTGATCTTGATTATATGATCGTCTAGGAACTATTAGCGTCCACTTATCAAAGACACCTCGTAACGGCTGTAAATTAACATCGTGACGAGCCTGCTTTCCAGTAAATAGTAAGTGAATGAATTTGTAATGGATGCGTTACATCCCGCTGAGTCCATTTTGAAGTTCTCCACTTAATAATGTCAGATTATTGTCAGATAGTATGAGAAACTTACTGAAAATTCAGTAAGTATGTTGGCTGTGTGCTTTGAAAATTGTAAAGACCGCATAAGCGTACGCCAGCCTGACGCCGCTAGATTCTAACAGAATGACGAAAAAATTAAATCAACGATTCCGTTATTGAATCATATCGGCGTAACATAGCGATTAATGTTTGTCAATCATAGGCTACAATAACTGCCGTAAAATGCGTATCGTTTATCATATACATAATGTATTCTGTTTGTAAAAAAAAATTGTAAAAAATTCTGTACTGTAAAAATACCTCCAATAGCCGCTAACGTGTTCGTCACCACCCATTCATTTTAAGAAGGCTATAAAAAGTTCATTGCTGATTGTCAAATCAGTGTTATTAGGACAAATCAGGTCTCAAGTCCCCCTAATGCTGCAATCGCAACATGTTCCACTATTAACTGGGTGGTTTAGGCCTAAATTTGGATATAGACAAACTATTAATTGTTGAAGTAAAGATCTGTATACTAGTAGTGGAAGTTAAAAATATTTAATTATCCATTTTCTGGCTTTAGTGCCTGCAGATTTCTAACATTTAATCCTTTATTTTGGAAGCTAATTGATGTAACGGCGATATAAAAGCCAGACACAGAGGATACAGTAGAGAACCAACTGTGCGCGTCCTGTTATTCCAGTTGCTGAGCATATCTGTATTTCTCAAACGAACAAGGATCTGTGTATAATTTAATAAAATAAATAAAGTCCTCGTCTCCGTAAGAACGCTTGCTCATACTTGCTCGAGTGAAAGACCCCTGTTTTTGTTTTGTTTAGACAGTCTCATAAGGGCAACCATTACATAACCTTGGGCCGTATAATACAGTATTGATATTATGCTATTTACGTTGAAGAATGTCTGTTTAAAATGACGACGGGTGCGCATAGGAGAGTGGTGTTCTTTAAAAGGACTGTGCAATATAAACATTTGGCTACTTGGTGTAATGTATATAGCGTTTTTCGTCGCACGTTTAGATACGACGTTCGAACGTAGAATCTGTACTAGTAGGTGCGATCTTTCGTTGCTCTGAACTCTTTTTTTGATAACATCTTGTTGTGATATACAGGCCTCACCATGGTCCTTTGGCCCATTGTTGCTGCGTTCGGCGTCGTATTCTTCGTGTACCAGATCTGGTAGGCTTTTAGATATAATTAGACATCGTAGCATCCTTGGCACTATGCGTATTACTCTGTTATGGCTCTATAAAGGTTCACTTAGATTGAAGTTGTATTTATAGCGCTTGAAGCAAGCCAGTGTTTGAAAACAGTGGATCGTTAAACTTTATCACCAAAGTTTAATGTTTAATGAAAATATTTTTCCAGTCTGCTCAATGTACTTTCTCAGGCATGACGAAATTATAAGTAGGCCCGCGAGCCCCAGCAGTCGGACCTTAGTAAAGTTTAAAAATTTCATTTTTATAAGGTGAACTTTGCCTTTGAAGTAAAAAATTTACAATACACTTCATACCGAAGGCCTAGGGCAAACTAATTCTTTCAGGAAACGATATGAACACTTCCAGAAGTTTAGAAATCTTGGGATTCCAGGTCCGCCGCCATCATTCCTCGTCGGAAACATGTGGGAAATCTATTGCAAGTACGTGTGCTTACGTACAATCTATGACTCTCAATTGCTTCTGTCATTGTCTGATAAACACCCTATATCCGAAAAAAACAACATTACTTAATGCGATTTGAAGGCTTTCACCGGTTGCCGCTCTGGTTGTGAGTCATAATGTTCTATTCCGTGATGAATTTAGAGAATCCTAACTACAGGAGATTTTGTCTTTTTTTTTTGGGGTAAACTAGACAAAGGGCTACGCTTACTCAGACTGGATAGAGTATCAGCTTAGCTAATTCAATTAGCTGGTCTTTGCGCAGGGTGTAGATGTTTGCTGACCGTTTATTAATGCACGTCTCCCATACAATAATATAAGACGGACTATTTCTATAGAGAAAACGTTATTCGAAAATCTATTCGATGGATCATTTTTTTGTAAAAGTATTTTCAGAAACATATCATCTAAAGTAAGGGTGGCGGAAGCAAGAAGCAACTGTAATATAGTTCTTGCTTTGCGTTTCTTTCCAGAGGTCAGCTAAATGCTCAGCTGGACTGGCATCGTAAATACGGTTCCGTAGTGGGTTACTACTATGCCTATATACCCGTGCTTCTTATTGCGGAACCTGAACTTCTCAAGAATATCTTAGTCAGAGATTTCAGCGCCTTCCCAGATCGACCGGTGTGCAATTTTCTTTTGTGTTGCAAATAACTCAACGCACGTTCTAACTTTGAGTGCTATAATGGGTAGGACGCAGGTCATCAAACCACGACGGTTCGTCTAATCCGCTGGGCTTTCAGAAAGTTTCTCTGGATTAAGTAAATTTTAATACAAACTTTTTTTAGTTAAAATAAGCTAGAGTATATAGAATTCAATGGACAAACACTTGGGCAGGTTTTTATGACTACACCAGTAGCTGCCTTCCGGTGACGATTGTGATTCAGAAATGTTTTAGCCTTAGATTAGAAACTTTCCCTACGCAAATAATTATTTTAATTTAGTTGCCAATGACGATTTGTTCTCTCTCAATTTGCTTGTAGGCACATACAGGTAAACGGCGTAGTGATGGACTGTCGAACCTCACGGGTCAACGTTGGAGGGAAGTTCGGTCTATCCTCACGCCATTTTTTTCATCTAGCAAGCTCAAGCAGGTACAGCAGGTCGCAGATGTTTTAGATTAGCTACTCAGTTACGATTCAGGTAACGTCGTAACCTATCAGCCTAATAGGTTCAAGCAATCAAAGACAAACTGGCTGCTTTCCGTAGAAGATTCATCTAGGTCCGTTCGTTATTTTGGCCTTTTGACTATATGTAATACGCTCGTATGAGAAAAAGACGTACTTTATATGGCTAAACGCTTACGTATTTGCTTTCAGCTTTCTTCGGAAGTGGAGGGCATAGTTGATGAGTTCATGGATAATGTGCATAAAGCTTTTGCATCAGGCGGACGCTCTGTTGACATGTACGAGTTTTATCAGGCTCTCACACTTGAGACTATCTGCCGTAGCGCGATGGGAGCCGATTTCCGTGTTCAGAAGGACATCGCTAAGTCGAAAATTCTTCATGATGTGAAGAGCTTCTTTTCGCTTAATTTAAATATCCTTTTCGTCTTATTCCGTAAGCGTTACGATCAATAAGCTGTGCCGTATCACAATCTAATATAAATGCTTGGAATAGAAAAAGAGCTATCTATAATCACAATTTTTCTTTGGGTAATTTTAGACCCTACGTAAAAACAGTATGTTTTTGCTAAGTGATCATACGAGCCTATCAGGTTCGATCAATATGTAACCTAAGGCGAATTAATGGCCAAGTAGAATTTTTTATTTTCAGTCTCATTCCCAATGCTTCAGGGGAAAATAGCGGGTCTAAGTCGTCGGCGACTCATGGCGAAAAATAGAGGTGAAGATCCTGTCGGAAGGCTCAGGAAAGAATGTGCCAACATTTTTAAGCAGCGTAAAAGCAATCCCAACGTATGTCAAAGACTAATACTAGCGTAACTATTGTTATACAATCGATTCTTTCATAGCAGACAAGGCGCATCTTCTACGTAATAATAAACCGGATCACGAGTCATTCGCCCATTAACAGGCGCCAAATGTTCTAATTTAGCTAATTAACCAAGGGACTTATGCTATACAACATTATGTGACATAGTTACGTGGACTCTAAACAGTTTCACAGGGCCGATCTTCTGCAGCTGATGATCGATGCTCAGATGATAGGAGGCAGTAAACGCATCAACGTCAAATCATTCATTACTGCAGACAAGCCAGAGCGCGACGAAGAGCTGGCGGCAGAGCTCACTGCGGATTCTAATAGCACCATTCAAAGGAAGTGTCCATTCAGTGTCAAACGAAACAGCCTTACAGATAAAGAAGTGATCGACAATTCTTTCCTAATTCTACTCGCAGGCTACGAAACGACCTCGTCCTCGTTGGCGTTTATCACTCGACTATTAGTTCGTTTCCCAGGAGTTCAGGAACGCCTCCGCGAAGCTCTGCTTAAAGTAACGGAAAACGGCACCCGATTCGACCTTGAACGCCTTCAACGTTGCCAGTACCTGGATGCGGTTATCCAAGAGTGCCTTCGAATGTACCCGCCAGTCTATGCGTAAGTAACCTTTGTAACAGTTTGCCTTTTCTCCATTTGTCTCCCTTCATTTGTTTACTACGATCGATTCTAGTCTGACATCTACGTAAGATGGATATCGATTAAGCAAGTGCTCTTATTCATTAAACATAGCACATCTCACTGAGCTTAAGTTGTATATATTTATTTCAGCTTTACTATACGCAAATCCTCAATAGGAAGTACATATGACAATATAACGATTACTAAAAATATGGCAGTGTTTGCGTCCACGTGCGAGCTCCACAACAACCCAGAGATATTCCCGGAGCCGCAGAAGTTCCGCCCTGATCGATTCCTTCCCGAAAATCATTCGCCGGAAATGGGATTTGCTTGGCAGGTACGATTCATGTTTTGGATCTTCGTTGTTTCTTTATGATAAAACATTATAATTTACTGTCAGTAGCAATTGCAAACATAATGTGAAGTGTTTTTCGGTAGCAACGCAAAATAACATCTCTCTCAAAAAAAAATGCCAGTTAAAGGTTGGTTCTACCCATAACGGTCAGTGAAGAAACACAAAACAGTCTATGAAAACTACAAATGGTCAGTAATAATCTCCCGATTGATTTGAATACGTTTTCTCTCATAGAAAGAGTAAAAATTGCGAACTTCATTAAGGGTACAATATAAAATGTTAACAATTTTTCAGCCGTTTGGTGCTGGTCCTCGAAGTTGTATCGGAATGAAGTTCGCACAAATGGAGATTAAGATCACCCTTGCAAAATTACTAACGCACTATCGCTTAATTGCTGGGGCCTATGACACTGTGGGTGACGTAAACATCAAATGCGAAGTGACCCCATTTTTGCAGAGAATCAAGGACCCACTAAACGTCAGTCTCGAGAAGCTGAACGCATAGTAACTTGATTAACCTTTTTATTTATGCTATAAGCAATATTTATGCTTGTGACATTTTCCGTAGTAATATTTTACGTGAAAAAGCGATAATTTCTCTATTCTAATTAATCCAATAGAGTCTTCTTCAAAAGTTTAAGAAAAACTTTTTTAAAAATGGGAACTAGGGAGACATCTTCGTTGTAGTTATGCTGCATCACACACACAGAACAAATAAAAATCGCACAAGTCTATAGACGGTTCCGTCGAAACTCCGTAGAAAGGCATTTCATTTGATTTAGGCAGTTGTATATGCGATACGGTACCTGTTTCGAATTTCTCTACCTGATACTGCCATTAAACATCCATTGGGATGGCTGGCCGCCAGCGTGAAACTATGGCGATACCAGCCTTCAAATGTGGACTACGTCACGTCATTGCCGCAATTAGACTGTGAAATAAAATGGCTGCCGCTACGAAATATTAAGACTAATAAATATCTTGTGTTACATTTTCCCTGTGTATCAATAAAGTCGGAATGGGGCTCTTGCCTGCGCATTATATAATAGGTGGTCGAAACTCCGAAAATAATAGCTATTGTAGTAATAGTTATACCGTAACATTTGTACCGCAACAGCTGCTTTGTCCTCCGAAATTTACTAGCTACCTTCATTGAGGTATCAGATCTGCCGCTAAATGAAGAACTATACCGCACATAAACTTGTCGAAATTGCATGTGATAAGCTATTTATTAGAGCACTTCGCTTACTTACAAGTTAATTTTATGGAAATGGCATACGTTTATTTTTGGCCCAGAAAGAGTTAGGTCTCCCTCCTTGAACTTGGATCGTCTGGTAATAAACCTGGACTTATGGGTTATGACATATCAAATATTTGTAGAAAATGTCATATGGCGTAGATGTAAATTGCCTGCTTGGACTATTTACGTTAATCCAATGCCTTTGTTGAACAAGGAGAAAATGCATTCTACATAAAAAAAAAAAAATATATATATATATATATATATATATACATATATATATATATATAACTAAAATATTTAAGCTTGTTTGTTACCAGTTACCAGTGGCCAATAGTTAAGTACGCTCTTTTGGCGAGATCTCTTAATGGAGCAGTAATAATTTCAGACTTAAACTATCTATATCGCTAATAAATACTTATTGTTATTTCGCTAAGTTAAAATCAAATTGAAACTAAATAAAGATTTGCAATCTTGGGTCAGTTGGGTCTATAGCCCAGCCTCAAAACATCGTCAGCTAGTTTCCTCTTGTTCTAGTGACTGTGTATCTGTTGTGTGCTATCATGGTATCATACGGAATGACAATTGGTCCATTTGCTGGTATATCTCTCGCAAAAACTTACACTCGACCCGAAGTGTTACCAATCGACGATAGTATTGTATGAAACGTAGCTACTATGAACACCTTTTATTCAGTAATCGATTTATATTTAAAAAAAAAAAAAAAAAAACAAATATTGTATCATCGATATGCGCACAATTTGTGCTACACTGGCAAGTCGCTATTACAGAGGGCAGGTTTAGCTAGTCTGGTCTAGGTCCAGTCTGGGTTTCTGGGTCTGGGTTAAACGTACGTACGTACATACAGAGAAGGAAACCTTGCTTTCTAAAGGAACTTGGGTTTGCTTAATATTTGTCATGTCTAAAATATTGTATTGTAATTAATGCAAATTCTATAGAAAACATCTATAATTATATAGGTTTTTATAATATGACCCGGCATGTACTTCAATATTTCAGACCCTAAGTGCACATCGGTTTAGACACTTGTTCAAGTGTACGAGAAGTTCTATTTTATGTATGGCCTACATACACTCAATATAAAAGATGTTTATTTGACTGTAATAAATAATATAATTGACCCGCTGTTTAGATTATATGGAAACAGAAGAAAGTAGTTTTTATAATAGAATCATCAGTACGTATCGATATCCGATATAGGCTCCGTCCCGAATTAGGTTACCTTACCTTACCACGCCTGTTCAAGTATGGCTTCCTAACTATATGCACTCCTGTTCAAACCATCAATCAGGATGCACCGCAACATGTCACAGGCTACGCCATAACTGCTCAAGACAATCTCGAGAAATGTATAACGTGGTCACGTTTACCGTCAGAACTATATAATTTTTCTTTTATATATATAGATATAAGAAAAATCTTTCTCATATAAAGTAGTTAATTTATTATTAAGATGTCGACTTGAATGAAATCAGTATAATTTTTATGACGCCCATTATAACCCGGCAATTGGACACGCTTAGTAGTACAAACTAGCGTCAATAGGTAAAAATTTCGTCTAATGAAAAATCAAGATGGAATTACTGATCATGATAACAATACGAGGTTTAGTAAATCAAAGTTTTCAGCTGTCTGCTATGCTAAATCTCTATCCCTAGTATTAGAAATGTAGTCTTATTATAGGCCCGTGATATAGAATAGATGTGTCTGTTGTGGTTATTCTAAGAATTTTAACTTTAGCTGTATTACGTTTGTTACTCAAGAGTTATTATAACTTCCTTTCACTTAATAAAATATTATATTGAATTTTTATTAATGTCATTTTATTGACTTGTTTTGGAGCTTGTCCTGTTACGAAACGTTGTGTTTTGCAAGTCAAGTATTTCATTCTTATCTTTTATATATTTTCTACTTCGTCCTTTTGTTTATTAATTTCTCAAATTAAATCGATCGAGGAAAATAATATAAAAAAGACAAGAAGAAACGTTCTCGTGCATGCTCTGGCTTTGGTTGCACCTTTAACTTCTAAATTGACTACTCGCCAGAGCGACATCTATACATAACATGATTACAATCAACTTAAGATAAATGGGACTTGAGACCTAAAGGTTTACATTAGTTAATTTGATCCATTACACACGCAGAGTATATATATATATATATAATATATATATATATAATGTATATATGACTTGGGCATATTTGCGTAATCTGTGATAAATTTCTATCCTTTTTCAATACGAAAAAAGTGACCGCAGATTTTGCGCTAGGCAAGGTTTGACCATCTTTGATCAAACCTCAAAAGGTCGGTTAACCTAATATCTATCTTAGCCATCGGTTCGATACATCATTTTTTGTAACGACAGTCAACCTGGAGACGTGACGTTTCCACGTAGACATTTTCCATACCTCACACAGTGTTGGAAGTTTAAAGGCGGATCATTCTCTTCTCAGTATATACTAGCCAAGCACCCCACCACCATCAGTACATTTAATAGTCCCGCAGGTTCGAAAAAAAACAATCATTCGTCATTTTCCTTGACCTGGATGAGCTAACGTAACCTTGGTAAATTGTCTTTCACGTTCCTCCATTCTAAAGCTAAATCAACCATTAGATAAGGTCGTATAAAACAAGCAAAACAGAAAAATTGCCTGTAAAAATTATCTATACTTACTTATTCGTACACAATAGCGCCTCAGAGGCAAATGGGTAGTCAAAGTCCATCAAGCTGCATGCTGATCTTACAGTCATTGAGCATAGAAAAATCGTAGTAAATACATACGCCAACATGTAAGCAGTATCAACAAAAATAACCAAGATACAAATAAAAATGTCGCATTTCATGGATTTTATTGCCAAAGCAAGTCAGGAGCCAGAAGGTATGGAAAGTTCGAGTACTCAGGAGTCAGTCAAAGACCAAAAAGAAGCGAAAACAAAACTAAATATGCATTTGATGGGCATTGCAAAGTGGGCTAGTGGGTCTGGAAACTAGATTTGGCATTCGTGAAGAGAATTTACGAACTGGGTTTTTGAAAAAATTGAATAGATAATAATATTTAAGTTAACACAGACATAGGCAGGTAGTACGACCTTTACAATGTCGCTCGATTGCTTGAATCGTTGCAACAGGCAGTTAGATAGAAACGTTCACCGAAGAATTTTTAAAAATAGTGCCCCTATAAATAGAACAGCATCTCGAACTTGATTCCAAGTTTATCACCCATACTTCTTGTGAAAGTTGAACTTAAATATGTTTATAAAACTGTTTATATATCCAGCACGGAGAGTACCCGAGAGATTTTAAGCGAAGATCTTTGATTGTTTGCACGGTCGCAAATAGGTCAATGGCTAGAGGCCGCAATCCTGATCGTACCGGTGTCGCAAACTTGCGACATTGTTGTAGCATTAGCTCAAGCTTACGTTAAAGTTGTGATTGATCCCAACATAGGAGACAGCTTGTAATACTACATAAACGATTGCGGAATTACAATTACCTTTAATGAATTGCAAATAAGCTAACTTCTTGTTTAACATTGTTGCAGAGTTTATAGAGAAACAAAAAAGAGGAATGGTTGTCATCTGTCAACTTCATGACTTCAACTGACCCTTTCCAGTGGCTAGATATGGAGCACAGCGTTTCTGAAAACATTTACAATCGGTATGGTACCATGTCATGTAAAAACTGGCTATCTTGCAAGGAAATTTTATTAAAAATCTCATCCTGTAGCTGCAGGTGCTTTGAACTGCAAGTCAGATATCCCATCACTGATCGGCAGAACATGCAATAAGTACGCAGATAGGATATCTTGCTTAACAGGGTAACCAAGTAATTATAGATCACGGAATAGCAGGATCAGTTTTTAAAATCTCGTTTAGTTACAGCAGGTTTCACATTTAGATACTCGCCACAATAGCGTGAAAGCTAGGCTGGTATTTTCTAACCGCGTTAGCACCCGCTAAATTTGCGCGCTTGTCTGTCCTTAGCTCTAAATTGTTTGTTCCAGTTCGTTTGATATCTTAATCGCTGATTTGCCAAGCCTTATTCAAAATACCCGGCGCCTTGGGAGGTCATACTCGAGATCAGTATGCAGAAAACTAAAAAAACAACCTTCAGACACGGAGGCAGACTGGCCACACACGACCAAACCGGCAGAATTTAAAATTAATCAACGATTTATCCGCTTATCTCTATACAGCAGATGCCACGTGAGCTAAAACGGCACGTACATTGAAAAGCACTTATTGCAACAACATTAATAAGAAATCTACGCGTTTTTTTTTTTTTACCTGACACTGTCTGCGGTGCTCAGCTGCTGTGGAAGAGACTAGTCGCACTGGACTAAGCTAGCTTTAGCCTAAACATAAAGCAAACTACATTTAGAAGGGCCTTATGTTTACACGTGTGAGCCTATCGTCGTCTTCTGTATTTGCTCGTCAACATTCCTATGTTCAGGGAACAGGTAGCTTGCGATACGTCGGGTTACTCGTGATTCATTAGCAACTATAAGGAAAAAATGACTGAAGTAGACCCACATTTTTGTACCACAGGATGACGAACGCAAAGTGTAAAAACCTGGATAGAAAAAAGTAAACACGTAACTGCTGGGAAATTTTGGCCGCAGCCTTCAGTCTGTACTTCCAGTACAAACAGCGAGTTTTCGTCCACTAATTAAGGCATTACATACTTGTAGGCTCAGCAACTTGTGGCACACTAAATAGGACAGCGCTGAATGTCCTTAAGATGCTTCATTGAAAGAAACAGCGACACTAATATAAGTTCGTTACGCTTTGTTTAGTTATTATGACTTAATTTTATTCGCAGCAGGTTTAATCCTCTTACGCAAATAGGTAGGGGCACTATACGGCCTTGCCCATGGCAGCACCGCCGTGACTTATGTGTTTTTCTGCTGAAATTCAAAAGACGCGGTTATCCAGGTTCGAATCCCGTCGTAAACTTACCCGGTATAGTGCTAGCAGCCCACCGTCTAAGTGAATGAATAACTGCTCTAGTACCGGGCCAAAAATATATAACATATCATAAAAAGCCACTGCTTTAGTGGTAGCGCGTCTGGCAATTTTTCCTACTCAATGCCGAAGGAGCGCAAATGTTCCAGGACCCTGGAAAGTTCTGTTCGATATTTGAACATTTTTGTAATTAAAATAAAATACAAGCTAGATTTTCATAAGGAAATATTATACGACGTAGTTAAGGCACCTGCCAAATCTTAGTGCTAGCTTTCGGACATTCTAAAACAGCAGCTCTAACCAACACTCCCAGAGGTTTCCTTACATTACCTCAATTTACAATATTACACAAAATCCGGACGGTCTCACTTTTAACAGCATATCCATAACGGACGTAACGGCGCCTTACAGTTTCCAATCTTCCAAAATTTCAGAAATAAAATGGGTATGCTATGAAATATGTCAACAGCAAGGATTAAAGTAGATCCATCTGCAAAATTCCACCTGACGTAGATCCGATGTAGGCAATCGTTTGTCCTATACACTCCATCATTGACACCTGGATATTTAGCCACAAACTATTGTCTTGGCTAAATTCAATACGGTACATCATCAGCTAAATCTCTTTCACTTTCTATGAAATCGTTTTGCCAAGTCATCGCAATTTTTGGCAGTCAACATCGATTCCTGTCTTATCTCTCAAAGATTATTCACGTCGTGGAACCGTATTACGTGCCAATATGACTTTTGATCTGGCAAAATCAATAGTAATTAAATCCAAGTAGATTACTTCCCTCTCTGATAACAGTGTAATCGTTCCCGTCCTTTTCTTTCTGTTTGACATATGTTACCACACGAAACCGCCTTCCGATCAGTGCAAGTAAACTGAGTTCGGCATTTGGAAACAGGCATTAACTTTTTTTTATAGCCAAGTCGGTATTCATAGGGAAAGTCACTCCTGAAAATTTAGAAAGTACGTATTTGAGTACCCATTCAGAAATCGAGTGTACCTATTACTACACCTAGTTTAATCGATGGACTGTATAATTAAAAATTTAGAGACGCTGTAAAGTTTTCGCTTCTAACATTCGATGAATCGGTCTATTACGCTTGCTCAGTCTCTCTAGGTCTTCTCTCAGTGAGCCTGAGGTTTCTGCAAAGCTTGGCCTTTTGTCAGTTGTTCGCGCAGCCCCTCAGTGGCAACGGGCTTGATACTTCCCTACTTATCGATGAAACTTAGGACATTGCTTCCTACACGTCAGTGGTTATTATCCGATCTTTGCTTTTAGCTAACGAGATCTTTTTTCATTTAGGGCATCAGAAAAGATTGAGAAACCCGGTTTCCCACTAACGAACAAAATGGTTTTTTGGTCTATAGCGGCCGCCTGCTTCGTCCTCTGGCTTGCGTACCAGTTCAAGTAAGTTGTTCTCGACACCTGGAAAGATGAGCACTACAGTTTAGACGGCTATCTTATTACCGCGAGATCATCTCAAGGCTTTTTTCTACGGATGCCCAATTTATCATCTAATTATCGTATTGATTATTAGGTAACGCTCGCAGTTCGTTTGATCGTATTTACGATGTCTAAAACCGATATTGATTTCCATTTTTTTTTGCCACAAATCGGAGTCAAGTTTGTGCTCAACTTAGGTCACTCGAAACAACGAGATCTCATTTGAATACATTTTTAAGGATTTCAAGCTACTTTCGGGATGGTTAATTATATGGGGGCTTTAGATGGAACGTCACCAAACGATCTTGGAAACAATTATTGTGTACATATCAGTGCGACCTAGGACTTCAGCACAATAGTCTCCTGTAATAGAAAAGGATTCACTGTCTAATTAAACGTACATAGCTAATGTTTTTAGACAAACGTCACCCTTAAAGAACATTCCCGTGAAAAAAACAAATACGGTATTAAAATTCTGCATGCTGGAACTGTTAATCCCCGTTACGGTACAATGGTATTGCTAGTCTGGACACGACAAAGCTAAACGGCTTCGTTCTACAGCTGGATGTAGCCTGAATATTAAGCCAAACATAGGTTCGAACGATATCTTTTTAATTTTTTACATTTCAGGTTAAGATACGATAACTTCCAAACGTTCAAAAAACTGCGTATCCCGGGACCGCCTCCATCGCTCCTATTTGGCAACGCATGGGAAATCTATCGGTTGTAAGTATTCCTGTCACCTCTATCTAAAATCTTAGATGACGATTTATGGCTAAAGATTTGCCGTAATGATTTCCATCAACAAGCTACAACGTTAGTTTGTATACTAAGGTATTACTCTTTTTCAACGGCAGGGGTCATAAGGAGGCACAAATGAAATGGCATCGCCGCTACGGTCCTATTGTTGGCTATTTCTTTGGTTACGAACCCATTCTGCTGATCGCTGACCATAAAGTTCTGAAGCACATCTTACTTCGAGATTTCGTTAGCTTCACAGATCGACCTGTACGTATCAAACAATTGTTTCTTACTATTTGGTCATATAGTGTACGTTATTCGTAACTCCACCATAACCGTAGAAAATCAGTATCTCACATATAAATAAAAGCTGTAACGTACTCACAAAAGGTGACTGGCTTTTATACATTATACGATAATGATACGATATAGTAATAACTACGTTATACGATACAGAAACTGTATCGTATAATACTTCATAAGTTATTCTGTATAAAGTTCCCTTTAAGTGTTCTATACGCTCGTCTCTAACCGCTTAACAAGTAGATGATTCGTTTTTAAAATGTTTTTTTCTTTTCCACATGATTTAGCAAATACATTGTTGTTTTATGTCAGCTGTTTGTGCTAATCGGTATGTAACATGGAAAAGTGTATCAAAGTTCTAATTTAGAGGACGGTTCGGATCTCATGGACATTTCCAGGACGTACGTAAGTTAATTTGAAACATTGTCATTGTTAATAATGGTATTTGTTGTGCAATCAACCATGTGCTCTTCGCAGGAACTTCTATCAGGCGGTGCCAGTGGCAATTTCGATGAAGCCCTTACAGCTCTTAAGGGTCAGCGGTGGAAACATGTCCGTTCGACGTTAACCCCATCGTTTACAGTTAGCAAACTCAAACAGGTACGTGTTGATAGGTATACTGATAACGACTTAGTTTATCGACCGTTACCTGATAAATGTGTCGTGCAAACCTAAGCAGTTATGTCACATTTCTGTAGGGAGATTGTTGAAATTCGCCGGAAAGGGCGGCCCTATGTGAAACGGATCGTTATCGCTACAAATTATTCTGCACTGCTTCCAAATTACTCGTACAACAAGAGAAGAGATCGATATCTGCTCTGAAAATTTAAGCGATCAACGTAAAATCATTGATGCTGTCAAATATACCTGATTACCAATTGTTTTTCCTTTTCTATAAAAATTGTGAAATTAATTAATATCTGATCTCTTGGTCCCTTCAGATTGCGTCAGAGATGTCAAAGATTGTCGATGGTTTCGTAAGTAACGTCGACAAAGTCTATGAGTCCGGTGCGCGCTCGATTGAACTCTATATACTCTACCAAGCTTTGACGCTGGAAACAATTTGCCAAACCGCAATGGGGGTCGATTTTGCCGTTCAAAAGGACGTCGCTAACTCGAAGCTACTCAAACATATTAGGATTATATTCAGCGTCTCTATAACCCTCATTTCCCTGCCTTTTCGTACGTTTTATTAAGTAATTGCTATAAATCGCTTTTCAAATTTGATCTGTTCGCTTGTAAATAGAATGCCTCTCTATTTCAACAGACCCAAGTTCCGTACGTAACAAACGAAGCCTTTTCAGGAAATCTCTTTTAGCCGAGTAATTAAACTGCTTCATTAGGTAGGCTCGATAGGTGCCAATGTACGCTTTTATTACCTGTGTATTCTAAGCTCATCAATCCTTATCTTAACTAATATCGTTGAATTCTCGGTTCCCGTTACATAGCGCACGTATCCGTCCACGCTGACGACCTATTGGACACTCTTAGTACTAATTGAAAACGAGAGCAAATCGTCTTGCGAAACCTATGGAAATCCTGAAACCTGTAAAAAATTTGTCGAAAAGGATCGCTTCGCCGTCCACACTGATTGAAGACTGGCCGGTCAACAAACGTACATTGTCCAGCATCATATTCTGTAGTAATTTCTAAGCAAACACTGTGTATTACCTTTCAGTTGCGTTCCCGATCCTGTTAAGACTTGGTTACGGGCTGTTCCAGAGAATTTCATTTATGTTTCTTAATCAAGGTGAAGATCCTGTAAGGGTTCTGCAGGACCAGTGTAGTAAAGTGGTCAAAACGCGTCGCGCCAACCCGGCGGTAAGTTTTAATTGCCGCAACTGAGCCGATTGTATGATATTAATAGGTGTTGCGATTAACTTCACTATGAAAGGATCGTATTAGTCAGAAATAGGGTAAAAAAAATTTGTCAATTAACTGTTACTGAAAAACGTGCGTTTAAAATATCTTATTCATATAGGTTATCTCACCAAAGTGTATTATTGTTGCTGGATCCTTAAATCTGCAAAATTTCCAGTGTAAATTCTTCACCTAATTGTACTACACAGACACTTTGCTATCAAACGGGATTTCCTTGTAAACAAATGCTATTAAAATGCTTATAATGTTCTATTAAATAGATATTGTATGAATGACTATCAGTTGAATAATGTTTTAAATAAAACTTAAAAATTAAATAAAACTGCTACTATACAGCATTAATGTTCTTTAGCAACTATATGCTCCTCATAGGTTAGGAGACCTTTTACAAGGCTTAGCCTAAAAGTAAATTCTAGATCAAGAGTGTGTGACGGACATTGCAAATCAACGTACTATCATTGTTCTATTGATAATAGCTGTTTAAGTAGACATTGTCTACTGAAGTGGTAGCAGTTTGTTTACGTAAGGTCCATATAAGAAAAATCACGGATCACTGACAGAAGAGCCCTTTTCTACTTCTGTGACGGTATAGAATCGACGTACGGATCTACTTCAGCTGATGCTTGATGCTCAATCGACAGAGGAGGACGGAGTGGACCTGAATTCACTGATCGCAGGCAACGAGACCGAAGAACGCAAAAAACAACAAAAAAGAACGTTTGGTACAGTAAAAAGCAGCGAGCACAATGGTTCGGACAACCAGCAAATAGTTAGACATCCCTTTGCTAACAAATCTAAGGGACTCACAGACTCAGAAGTCACTATCAACGCATTCCTTGTTCTTCTTGCTGGGTAAGCAGAGTTCCTAAACATCTATGTTTTATCTTGGAAAGGAAGTCCGCCCGTTTTTTTTCTACTGAATAAAAAACACTGCATTTTTCACTCCTGTAACGTCAAGCTATGACGTTACGTATTCCTGGCTATATATGTTCATGACATTCTCGTATTGCTCCATTAAATAATGTATGTCGTTTCGAGGAAGTTCTCCAATTACGTTTTGAGTGATCGATCCGTATCGAAGCTAGGGCCGCGAAAGCCCTTAGAGCGAAAATCCATCGGCACAAAGTCCAGAGGATATGGAGGGTGCGACAAAACCCTTCTATTCGAGGTCGAAGAGGACAGCTTTTGCGATGCTTGCCCTATGCGGCGTGACGCTATCATTAGGCAAGACGAGCTGACATCGTCTATCGGATCTTTTCTCCTAAATAGCCTGGTTGACTTATTGTCATGTATGGAGATAGTTACCAGAGCACATAACGCAGATATCTATGTTAGCTAGTTTATGGAAGGATTTGTGAGGTGTTCCTGCGTTATGAGACGCCATAGGATGTTTATAAAATCACTCAAGGGTAAAACAGCTATTCTATGCCATGACACGCCAGGTGGAAATTTATTGCTGACCCACCTTTTGAACCGCGGTACGAGTCATATGGAATAACAGCCCAGCAATCTATAGGTTACAGTTGTGCGTATTAGTACATGACAAAAGGGGTAAGGTTGACATGATGCAGGATCACATCATTTCATTGACATTATGCATGTCGAATCTATCGCGTGTAAATGTTACAGCATAGTCTATTATATCGCTCCTGGAGCCACCCAATATGCGATCTCTGATCAATGTTCTATGTAAATGTCGGTCACTGTGGCCACGTGACGCCCAGTTTCGCGTGAGATATTAAGATCCAACGTTCCGTAGGACTTCATCAGGACAGGGTTCAAGCGATGAAAAACTATTCGCATTACGAAACGCAGACGTGTCTAGGACAAGCTTCACCATGTTCTCCTTGAAATACTGGGCCCGCTCCCTTGCGACGTTGTCGTATAAAGCCTGCATTAGGCACAGCTATGGCGCAATTGCTGCGATCAGCAGAAAGGAATCATCATGAAATCAACATATCTCCGTTCCAAGTGCCTGGTTCGATGGCGTACAATCATCATGAAATATTTTTTTCGTTTAGAAATAAGTGGCTCGGTATGCCCTTTTCGATGCGCAAACTTCTCCGTGATTGTTTTCTTAAAACAAAAATTTTTAACCGCTCACTGTTGTGTATTATTGCATTAGCACAGCTGACGTAATTTTTTCAAATCGGTCGGAAGCACCGATGGACGTTAAGCCGCAATTCTCTGTTGGATTTAGAGAAATAATAAGCCTCAGGTTTCTGCGTCAGCTTAAAGGACGTAAAATGCTGATCTTTTCTACTAGTTCTCGACCCGTTTGTCGGCAATCTCCCTTCAGTAGTACCTTCGATTGGACATCATTATGGTCAGGCGTTCAACTAGGACGGGAAGCATTCTTTCTGCTTTGGACATCGTTTTCAAACATGACAAGCCAGCCTTTATTTGCCAGTCCTCTTAGATACAACGTCGCTAGGGTACGCAAAAAAAATATTATGGCCTGTTTCGACGGCGCTTCGACCTTGACAAAATCCGTAGCACAGAATATATCGAACATCCATTTTAACGCGTTTTTTTGACCTGAAATTACACTGATAATGCTGTACCGCTACAGCACGTTCATAGAGCAAGAACTTTATTTTCAACCTAATGTAATAGACCTAATTTCTAGAGTGGAAAATGTTACACCTAATGGAGTGAAGCAATTCTTAAAGATTCTATTTATTCTACCTTTACAGTTACGAAACAACTTCTTCTACATTAGCGTTCATGACCCGTCTACTCGTTCGCTTCCCTGAAGTGCAGGAGCGCCTTCGTGAGGAGCTCGTCCAAGCAACAAATAACGGAACTCGGTTCGATTTTGAAGTTCTTCAGAAATGCCAGTATCTAGAGGCTGTGCTTCAAGAAACACTTCGAATGTACCCACCCATTTACTCGTAAGTGGCGCTATTTTCAGTTATTTATATGCAAACATCGATTCTTCAAATACGTTACACAAATATGTATTATAGTGGCAAAACGTCATGTTATTGCATCCTCAACTTGTATCTATTCTAAATTGCTTTAGATTCACGGTTCGCACGGCTAGCGAGGACAAGGAGTATGAAAACATTCAAATCCCTAAGGGTCTGAGCGTGTCTGCGTCTACCTGCCAGTTACACAACGACCCCAATGTTTTTCAGGAACCAATGAAATTTCGTCCTGATCGATTCCTGCCTGAAAATCGAACTGTTGACATGCTGTTTGCACACCAGGTAGTCAACCTATTTCGATATCGACATATATATATATATATATATACATATCTTGGAATCAACCTGCTTAACCTATCGGTATAAAACGGTTCACGATTCCGGAACATAGATCGTGACGACAAAAGTCCAATAATGTATTTACCCCATGAATTTTATGGCTCGACTGAAACCCGCGTCAATTTTGTATCCATTGCAGTCAATTTTTTTTGTCATAATATGTACACTACCCAACTGCAATATTTATTTATTTATTTTTTTTTTTTTTTAACTACAATCAATAATCTAATAGCATAACGGAGCGAATTTTCTCTTCAGCCGTTTGGCGTTGGTCCACGTAACTGTATCGGGATGCGGTTCGCTCAGATGGAAATCAAGATTACGGTAGCCAAACTATTAACAAAGTATCGCCTCAAGGCCGGGAAGTTCGATAGGCTGCATGATGCGCACATTAACGTTGATTGTCTTCCTGTTCTACAAAAAATCAAAGATCCTCTATTGGTGACTATAGAGAAAGTCGGTCATTGAACAGCGAGGACGTTCCAATATTCTAACCTTCGATAAATGTGATAAGGATGCATACTGAATATGAAGCTGCTAAAATCCATGTGCTGGACATGTGGAATAATCAAAATGATCTGAATTGAAGAAGATCATATAGTAAGAATGAGATTAACTATGAAAAAATACGTTTACTTTTTAAATGAATATTTAATCCGAGTGCATGATAGTACGTTGAGTGGAGTGAGAATCAACTATGCGTAATAATGAAGTAAGGGCCTGGCGTCCGTCCTAAATAGCTTACCAAGAGATTACTGGTATAGTTTGATAAAAACATTTTGACAGAACAAAATGCGTTCCAGATATATTTCTGTGTAATCTCTTCTAAGATGCATGCATAACCAATCCATTACTGCTGCTTTCAATAAGAAAAAATAGCCGTTAATAAAAATTATTTTATCATATATACACTGCGTGCATTTAGCTAACACAAAAGACCAGTAATAGTTGGGACATACGATTCATTTACAGTTGAAGCATAAACAGGAGAAGAGCATATTACCTTTTACAAGGGCTACTTCTGACAGTCTCGCATTCACGCAGACTTTCTCTCTGTACACATAAAGACACGCTTCTACCCAGTCAGGCAGCCTAAACAAAAAAAAATAAATAAAAGTCTAGTCCATAAAAGTCTATTCTTTACGGGTGGCGGTCAACTTTCTCTATCTATCTTTTCGGATAAAAAAAAACTACGAGACATCGTCGGTAAGCCTATTTTTTTTTTTACTAAGCATAATATTTACCAACGACATAAACACCACTGATTAAAGCTCTAATCTTGAGGTACGTTACAGACATGGCTGAACTTACTAAACTCATGTTATGCTCAGTGAGCTCATCTGCGAAAACCCCCTGATATCGGCCCAAAGCATATATATATATATGCATATGAACCTGAAACGTCTTTGGGACCATAGAAAGACTTGATAAGGGCTTATAATAATAATAACAGTCACCGAATATTACATCAATGATATACGGAAAAACCTGTACAATGAAACACAAAAAAGCGTTGCTCTTCGTTTTCGTTAACTGTAATTTTTTTTTTTAATTACTAAATATATAGTATTCCCATTTTATGAAAATTCCTATCTGCCGGAACACCTAATGCAGGTCTCTATAACAGCCGGCCCATTTCGAAGCCTTATAGAAAAAAAAAAAAAAAGATTGAGATGTTCCTGCATTATAGTACGTCGTAAGATGCTCATAAAATGCCATAGTATGTTTGGTGTGAAATTTTGTTACTAAGCAGCCTTTCGTATTGTGTGTGATGCTATATATATGGTATAAGTTATATACCATATATATGGTATAAGTTAGTCACGTACGTATAAATATGTGAAAGGACGATATGATAATACTACGCCATATCAGGGTATGATCACAGGGCCATATCAGGTAAAAGAATGGGTGCTTGAGATCCTGCGTGTGGATATTACAGATCGATCTATCTCTTTTTTAACATTTCTAAACGAATCCTCCTCCTTTCATCGTAATGGAACATTTTAAGTTAAGTTAGCATTCATATCGCATGGGGTGCCCGAATGTTTTGATGCCTACTGCGGATGGCCATACAGATATTAGTATCTGTGTATCTTACCGGTCACCTTGAAAAAAAAAACCACTACCGTTTTATCCTAACTTAAGGAATTCATGAGTCAGCAGCCATTAATAACATAAAAGTGGAATCTACAAGAAGCAATAGTGATTGTCTCTGTCATTTTACTCATTTTAGGCGTAGGTAGAGATTTTGCTTTCTATTTCAAGCGGAATTGGATTATATATATATAAACGAAAAAATAAATACAGACACTCGTGCATTAGATTGCTTTTGATACAAATGGATTCACTTCAATGAACCCTGCTAATTCCGTTCTTATATTATATGTATGTTGTTGTAATGTCGTATATTTAACTGCTACTAATCAGGTTTGTTCTATCATACAGTTTGGTTCTACGGCTCTAGCAAAAGAGACTACGTATTACTGAAAGGTAACGGGCAAAATGGGCAAAGGTACCCACTGATAGAAGAACTTAAACAATGGGAATCATTTTGAATTAATTAATCGCAATTATCTATTGCTCCAATCAACATCTTATCTACAAACTATTTTTTGAAATGAATGAATAATAAAATTGTTGTTTCCTCTGCACAACTTCACTGAAGCTGCGTCCCTTCCAACGACACACTGGTAGGTTTAGGTTTAAAAAAAAGATCCCTACCGCAGACGAAACGAACAGACTAGAAGAAAAACACTGTATCATTGTTATGGACCTATTGTTAGCCTCTTTTTTTTCCATTTCCAACATTTTTAGCCAGTACCTAATCGAATGATCCTGGATAACGTCACGCTTTGCGGCTTCCATATTTCCAATTACATCGGTAAATCATAGTCATCCTATGTTTGTCTGATTTATCTGATATAGTGAAGCTATCGCAATAGAACATGAAGAAAGGATAGAACAAGCATTTAAATATAACATGAAACAATTAAGTCAGGCCATTGAGAAATGCACCTTGGCCAAGATTTATAACATAACTGCACATCTGAAGTATCACGCCCTAGCATCAGAAGATACCTAAGTGTTAATGTGTTTGTTTCAAGGGTAATGTCGTAACATGGCGCTGCAAATCAGGGCGACTTCTCAATCTGTACGTTTGAATAAAGTCTATTTGAGCCTAGAACCTTTTCTCTGCAATAGTTTCGTTTGAGGGGCAAGTGATTGGACATAGCCAGCTCGTGAGAACAAGCAATATTGGCTTGCTAGAAAATTCACTGTCGGTATACGGCATTCTCATAACAGTAGTAAAACTTAGCATAAGTTCACTGGTCGACTGTTTGTCATTATACAAAATATAATTTTCAAAAGGTTCAGTGTACACCTTGTTATTAAACGGAAAATTGAAACGGTGAAACTGTTATACCTATTGACGTAAGACATATTTGGCCTTTTACGAGAAAAGAACAGATCGACAAGATTCTGGAAGAAATCAAAAAAAAAAAATGGGAGACTTGACTTTATTACGGAAGCATCACTTCTCTGACGGCAGCTTCGGCAGTCCCAACCGCCGAGCTATACTGATCACGCAGGTTGTTCTCCAGTACTAAAGGTATGCCGCATGGCTTTTTTCTATTAGACATTCAGGTCTGAACACCTGAACCCACTTACTATGTTTTCTTTAGAAAAATTTTGTTCTACCGTAACTATTTCGGCCGCACTAACATGATTACATGTTTACATCGGGATGGGGCGGCACTTAATGTTTGCTCGTGCGTGACTCTCTAATATAAAGTACCCAAAATTTCGATAAGAAATATTTAGCACGCAGTGAAGTAAAACCAAGCGTGAAATAGGTTAACGTATTAAAGATGGTATAGAATATAAATGATTATAACATTGCAATATAGCTATGATACAGTGAGGCGGCTTATTTCACGTATGGCGATAGAAATCTGGTATGCTTTGATGGTAGTTTCGGAGACAGGCTGACCGACCGCTGTCTATTGTTCCAGCTGTGAATTATTTGTAGAGCAATTGCCGCAAGTGGAGATCCTTTGATGAGGAATATAATAAACGATACTGAACGCGTAGCTATCGACTAAGGTAAGGACGAACATCGACTCTGTGGTATCAAGCTAACAAATGTAAGTTTAATTTACCCAAAATGGTGAAAAACATTTACTCTGGACATAACAAATAAATGTATTTGAAAGCAGACTATGCTGACCGTTTTAGAATCGATTTTGCTGAGCTGGTTTGGATTCGAAGGTTTTGTACGAGAAGCCTAGCAACATTAAGATAACTAGAACAAGCTTAAATTTGCCTTACGGGAACCTGCGGAACAGAGCATAAAGTTGATCCTTACACGGTCACTTTTAGCTGGTTGCCACTAGCATCGTAAAAAATTACAGCGACAAATGAGACTTGATAAATCCGATTAATAATTACTATACGCGTAATTATCCACAGCATCGATTTGTGACACGAAATATAATAGATTATACACTTTTCACCAAATTAAGCAGTATTTTTTTACACACTCGACAGTGCTTCGTGCTATGGCGAGCAATCATTGATAGCAGTAAAAAAATTAACAGGTCGATCATATCCAATATGCCCGTGGAGTCAAAAGGTTACTCTTGGTACGGAGCCTGTATCGATCATAAGTAGGACACGAAGTAGACCGATGATATCGGCTTATCAGAACAAAACAATGAAACCGCAGCACGGTATGGGCTACTACTTTTCCTAGCAACGACAGACAGCCAGTCGCCAAGAAGTCGAAAGTAACATAAGTCAGGTAACTTGCTGTTTAGCGCCAATTATCGTTGAAGGAAAAAAGCATATAGCGAAACAATGGCGATCCAAAAGTTCACAGGACAGCAACCTTATTATTGTGATAGTCAGAACAAGTTCCTCACCGCTTGGTTCTTTGTGTTGGCCCTTATCGTCGCGCGTTTGCAGATACAAACAACGGTAGCGTTAGCGGTGTTTCGAAAACGATAACTTGATAGACAGCCAAATTTCAGGGTGTGTGTTGTGTGGTTTCCAGTATATCATTACGTCACAGCGGTTAATTCGATGGACACTGATCCGTCCCAGAAGTCTCTTCTGCCAAAAAGAAATGGAACGAAGCTCAATAGTTACCTATACGCGGAAAAATCATGCACGCATCTTAATATATTAGTACGTTGACTTAAGCACTTAGAAGTTAGGGCTCGTTGACGAATGTGCTCACTGCGATTATTCAAAGTCAGATTATTACTCTGCACAGAAACTTTTAGAAGATTGCTTTTGAAATTTGAAGTTGGACTTTTTTTTACCAGTTGGGTGAACTGGGGAGTACAAAGTAACCCAGTCTGAATAAAGGATGACAGGTTATCAATCGCTGATACCAAATGAACTATTACAAATGAAGTTTTCGTAATTATGCAGGTTTCTCTCGAAAGGGCCGTGTATTACATGTAGCTGTTTACTACGTTACTTTACATAATTATATTGCCTTCGTATACACAGGAAAAAAATACGGACTGTACACTTGATATTGGCTTCCCGTAACACCTTATCCGGACCTGTAAAAAACTTCATTCATCTCGGAGACTGACATCTAACCAGCAAAACCGTTCTACGACAATCAATGACCTTGAAAAGCCAGAATGCATCTAATTATATAATTGCTACAATTGTATATTGTCACTATATCAACAACAGTACTAGTTCAGAGGAATTGCCTCTGTGAAGCTACTCGTTGTTGACCGAATACTGCCAAAGTTTAATAGAGATAACGTCTTCATCGGAAGCTTATATACATCAAATTTTAAATACCTGCTTTATACATTTGGCTATGACAGCTTCTTGATAACAGTCTGCATTTTTGAGTGATAAAACCAATGACCGAAAAATAATAACTCCAGTTGGCCGCCGATAGAGACACCGCGAGTCGCAATTCATTGCCTGTGACGCGTGGTATCTCTTTATCCGCCACTCCCTTTCTAACCCAATAACAACACTTCCCGTTATAATAAAAAAGTACAATAATCAATGCCAACAAACCCCATGTATACGAGAAAGGTTTTCTTCGCGATATTGTTCAAGCTAGCCAAAAATCAACAGGAAAAGATATAAGAGTTAGTCAAGCGTGATACTCGGTACAGAGACCTCGTACATTAGCGACAATCCGAGCGGTTTTCGAAATACTGCTGCAATCAGTTCGGCTGCTTCATCACAAGTGAACGCTTGTCGAATTGTTGTCGACCGAATCATTGCGAATTCAAGGCGATATTCATGACCTCATGGCTCGATCAATCACTAGCTGTAATTTTTCATTGATTCGTTGGTGGCTTTCGGTAAATGTGTTTGGGCATACGTCTTGCGTTTCGTTCTCGACTGTAAGAAGTGGTATGTTCATTAGCTATGCTGCTGACGCCTTGCTATTGAGGCAACGATTCAACATAGAGATATTAAACGAGAAAACACGGAACGCACAGCGGTAGGCCAATGCGGTGTTGAATCAAGACGGAGTTGAATAAAGTGGACAACGGAACCGCTTGAACGATGGCTGTCTAGACGACGAGGCTGAACTAACTTAACGACGTAATTAAGTTATCAGTTGAAGAATCAGCATCCAGTTGCAGGTCGTGCAGAGGGCAGGAAGGGCTGTCGAAAGAACTGCTTCTTGTGTCAGGCTCAGACACCCAGAACTGCTAGCGGTTGTGGATAAAGTCTGTCGATGAAGACCCACCTGACCGCTTTACACGGTCGTGCATGTGAAATCGTGCCAGCCGATCTGTCAGAGTACATCAGGCCAAATTAATTTTTTATTTATATACTTGATTTTTCCATATGAGGTTGAATTCAAGCGGCGGCTAGCGTTTCACGTGTCATTTAGCTAACGCATGATTAGCTATGTAGGGGTATTATTGTCGGTCTGAAGCAACGAGGCAAAAGAGGAAGTTCCTTTGTCCCGCAAATAAAAAGAGAGACCTATACGGCACTTATATTATTTTGCTTTCACCCACTTTGATGGACGGGGATGCAGACTACATATATAGAAACGGAGCAATGCGGGCCATGGTAGAACGTAGAAGATAAGAGATGACTACAGTATCAATGAAGTGGTATTATTTTTGTTTTTCTTTTTGATTAGACGAGCTCCATCTGTCACTTCGGTACGTACGGGCTCGTAGCACTTTTGAGCACAATTACCGACGACGGACACGATCATTTACTACGCATAGGTTTGACTTTTTTTTTTTTCTATATAGAACCGAAATTTACGGTAAACACTTGCCGAGCGGAAAAATATATCTTTATTATAAATATTTGTTTTGTTTCAAGTGCATTTTCAGCATTTCACAGCGTTACAGATTTACTTCAACATTTCAATTTCACATACATGCGACACAGTTCAATCAGAAATCAGATCTCTGAATTAGATAGGTATAACTTCAACTCTGATTTACCGGATACGCACAATATCTGGCGATTGGCCTTCTTGGAATCTAG